TACTATAATAGATAAATAATTTTATTTATAATATTATAAAATTTTTTTGTTGATTAATTAAAAAATAAAAAATTTTTTTAGTAGCATATATCAATTTTAGATGAAAATTTTAAAATACCATACATTTCTATATAGAAATGATCTATATTACCCTCTACCCTTAAATTAAGTTCTTTTTTTGTAATAAACTTATATATATATATATATATTTATTTTTATTTTTATTTTAATTTTTTTTCTACTATTCTGAAGTCTTTAGACATCTTTAGAACCTGTCATATCTCTTGAAGATCAGAATTAACATTTTGTGAAGATCATTAGATGGCATGTGACCTCTGTATATCACTAAACTATAAGATAATTCATGTTTTATTAAGTCTGTTATATAACATCTTGAATTCTTAATTCTGTAATATAGAATTTACTATTTTTTTCAGTTCATAATTCTCTAACTTCATATGATCCACCAACTGAATTGTTCATAAATTTCATTATTCTTAATTCTACATGTTTTTAAATTAAACTCTCTTAATGTTAACATTATTTGTTGATAAATTATGCCTTATCTGGTTGTTCCTAACTCTGTAACTATATTAGTCATTGTATTTTTTTCATATAAATCATGTTCTTGTTTTTTAAATAGAAATTTTCTTCAGATCTTTTTCAATTGTAGTTTTGGCAGAGTTTTTGTCACCTTCTGAACTTGAACTTGTGACCTTGCAATTGAAACTTAGAAGTGCTAACTACTGTGCTATTGACTCATAGGTCTCTCTTATATATTTAGTATTTAAATTAAAAAATATTTTAAAAAAATTAATAATAAAAAGTAACTATTAATCAAGAATATTTAAAACAAAAAAAAAATAAGATAGACAATTAAAAAAAATCTTTTTAACTTAAATTTTTGTAACAACTCAATATATTTTTTTTTAATATTTTTGTTTACTTTTTTCAAAAAAAATAATATATACTGTTTATTACTAATTAAATTTTTTAAAAAATTTAACTTAGTTAATAATATATTATATAGAATATTGCTATTTATCGCCAGTGGTGATATCGCCGGTGATACTATATCTCAAAAATCTACTATCTAAATGTTCAGGACCCCAAAAAACCTAACAATAACGAAGATTTGGACTTTATACCTAACCCTAACCTTGGTCTAAAATTGCACCCTATCTCTAAATTTGATAAAAGAAATCAGAGGTGGTGATATCGCCACCGGCGATAAATGCTAAAATTGTATTATATATACGTATTTAAGTTATATAAAGTTAAATTATTTTTTTATTTTTTTAATTTTAACTGTAATTCTAAACATATTTTAATTAATTAAAAAAATATAATACGTATATAGTATAATATAAATATCTATAAATTCAAATAGTTTATTTTAAATACATTAACTAATCAATAATCTTAAATATATATTTGATTAATCAATGAAGTTGCTTATCCACTAACTTGCAACATTATTATGTGGGCTACTATTTTATTAGTAAAATTTTAGACGAAATTTGTCAATTCCGGCCTATTCCGACCTCAGATTTTGGTCGATCTTCTGAATTTTGGTTACGCCATTAATTTATCTGAACAATCAAGACGAAGCCAAATATTCGTGGCTAAAGTTTTGTGTAGCAATGTGGCTAAGAAATATTAGGGTGGCTCAGTTAGGAGTTGGTCTGAAACACAACCTACGTACAAGTTATAAATTAATTAATAAATTATCGACATGATAATAATAAACCCCAAATTATATCAAATTCCAATAATAAATCTGCTAATCACTAATAGTCACACCTCTGGCAAGTTGACTTCAACCATTTTTCCTTTAGATTTATTCGGATTACTTTAAAAAACGATAAACCGCCCCGTAACACTATCGGGAAAGTGATATGTCGGGAAAATAATTGCCGGGAAAAAAATTTGGCGAGAGAATAATTTGTAGGAAAAGTGTAGAGATGAACAGTAGGGACCGTCAATGTTGCACAACTAATCCAACAGGTGAAAGATTATATCTAACGGTAGAGTGATCCTATATGAGTGAGCAACATTAACGGTTTCCGTAGAAATGTAATAATTACTTATTTTTATCACATACATATTATTACCTATGAAGATTAAGGTAAATTTGAAACTCAACGTTGCGTTGATCAGGGACGAACCAAGCATGACAAACCAGTTATGTACGGAGATTAAATACATATAATTTAATATGATAAAAATTTTCATAATAAAATCACCTGAAAATTCATATAATGCTGAGTATAAATTGTATTTTTACGGAAATAATTTTGGTGGTTGTTGCTTGAAGGGTTGTTAATCAGACGATTTATTTACGTATTATTACTTATTAGGGCAAGATAATAATAGTATACTACTTACCCATTTATAGAAAAATGTTTGTTGGGGGAAAATGATAGAATCTGAAATTACACTATTCAATGTGGCTAGACCAAATTGATAGATTAAATTTTATAATAAACATGTTTTTAATAAAGACGACGATATTTTTAGAATATCCCTTTAACCATAAGTTGATGCAGGTAAATTTGCCTGCAAAACGTTTAAAAAGATAAATAACGTTTATTCACCAATTTTACTAGCTAATCATTTTTACTTTAGATCATATAAGGTATAAGGAACAACTCATTCTATAAAATTGATTGGTAATCAATTTTATTCAAAGAACTATATTTAATCATTTGTTTTTATTTGATCTTTTTTTTTTTTTTAAAAAAAAAAAGATTGATAACTTCAGTTTGTGCATTTATTTTGGTTAGCATTGATAAGAATTAACTATCAGAGAAATGATTTAGATCATTTCGATTTTATTTTTATTTATAAATCAATTTATTAATAATGAACAATTCACTTGTTTATTTAGTTCTTATCGTTATTGACGAATGTACTTTGATTTCCTAAAAAGTCAGGAAGGTTACGTAACGCCATTGAGATAGTGCATTATATGAACGTAAGAAATTTCTTTTTTTATAATGTGATAACATGAATGTAAAAAAAATTCTTTTTTTTTCATGTTTATTTGTTTAATACATTATCATAGTTACTTATCTTGGTTACTCATCTTAGTTATAAAAAAACGCAAATTGAGGTGACTTAAGGAATGATATACAGTTGTAAATGAGGATCACGGCTAGTATTTAATGGTATGAAGTGCATACAATGGTATTAAAATGTATTACACAATGGGATATATTTTCTTCGTTAGACAACTTTCAAAGACAATGACAATATGGAACAAATAAAGTAATTAATTATCAGCCATATTGCATTCATTCTTTAAGAATATTGCCGATATATTAACCGAGCAGACGTTAGGTTTTGATCGAAATTAACTAATTTTTCTATCTTTATATTTTTAAACATTAACGTGATAGTTCATAAAATGGTGTTATTTGACAAAAATCAGAGGAGAAATTAATAATACCTGAAATAATTTCTTGTTCTTGATATGATATTATGATTAGCATTTTGTTATTGATATATATTTTATGAAAAAATGCAAGGAACCTTTGATATTCTCCGGAGTAGGGGAAACTTTTAAGCATGCACTCGGAGATTCGGATATCAAGAACCTTATATCCTATTAAGGCAGGAGCACAAGAAAACTTTAGATACGTATAATTTTAGAATGCACAAAAGGACATGCATATGAAAATTGAGCACTTGAGTGAAATTGATAGGATGGGAGCACAAAAAAAATTTAGGCATGTCTTTGAATGTTTATGAACATGTAAAAGGAGGGCATATCTATGACTTTATGTAAAATAGTTAACAAGAAGACTTTTAGGCAAATCTTGACATGCACGGAGGGCATACCCAAGAACTTTGTGCCTCGAAGCAATTTGAAATAGCAAACATTGTGTATTGATCCAATGTGGAAATGAGAACCGAATATCCGTCAATTCTTTCTATTTTTAAATTTTATAATAAAATTATTATTCAGTTTCAATCCAACTAATTTTTAATAATTAACATTAATTGATTTCGCGTTGAATTAACCTCATGGTGGTTTCTCACAATCATCATTGGATTGACAAATTCTCGGCTATCATAAGAATCAATATTAAAAAGCATAGCAGTAATAGGTAAATTAATTCCGGAGAAAACAATTTTGGGGAGAGATGCAAAAGAATAAAAAAGGATTAATTCAGAACACGTAATCTGATTTACATAATACCGTAATACATAGATGAATATGTACACGTATTTTTGGATTTTACGTATTATATTGCACGGGTAATTTTACGGATGTTGATGTTGACGTAAGCCGACACGAAATGGCGAAAATGGATGACATTCCATGTTTGACATTCTACGTTTAAAGTTTATTTTTTCTTTTTAAAAAAATTTTCAATACGTATAATAATTATATAGTTTATAGGATGTTGAACTAGAAAAGCGAATGCCTAATACTACGTGGTACAAATTTAGATTATGTTATATTACAAGTTATACGTAATACGTAGTAGTTCTGCCTAGTTTAATAATAATCATAGCATATATATATAAATATTTATTATTATTATTAAGATTAAGATAAAATGTATGTTTGCAATTTTAAATAAATAAAAATCTAAAATTGAAAGACTATTATTACTGCGATTCGAGAAACACAAAGATAAAGATTATCAGCATACTACGGAGTTTAGAGATGTAATTTAAAGCAAAGTTTAGATTTAACCGAATTTAATTTAATTTGTTGTGTAATATCGATATATATCAAGGAATTGAAAGTTTTTACCGAGTTCACAATTATGGTTAGTCAGTGCATTGTCATCGTTTAAAAAACGGGTAAAAATGGTTAGAAAATCTTATATTTTAATATATTTTAATATATTTTAATATATTTTAATATATTTTAATAAATTTTAATATATTTTAATATACTTTAATATACCTTAATATACTTTAATATACCTTAATATACTTTAATATACTTTAATATACTTTAATATACTTTAATATACTTTAATATACTTTAATATATGGGAGAAAATTAAGCCATATAATTTTTTTTAAAAAAAAACTTTAAACTCTATCAAGCTTTGATTAAATTCATATTTATTTTTACGTAAATTTCAGTATTATATCGTTATCGGTATATGATTAATAATTAATAATTAATATATAGCGACAGATTATAAAACCAAATTCATATAAATAAAATAAACGAATAAATAAACAAATAAATTAGATTTTAGATTTTTCAAAATATATATGGATCAAACAGTATAAACGTGTATAAACGTATTATAGATCAAACAGGATATATTGAATATCAGGTTTTTGGTCCGGATGAACCAAATCCAGCTAGATTCAACGTTAATCAGGTATCAGATTTATATTATATATATATATAAAATTAAAACTCCTTGAATTGAAAGTCATTAATTTTGATATATAATATGATAGTGATATAATTAAAGTTTCATTTAAAATTTATTAAACAAATTTTATTAAATATCATACATATAAATAAATATATTTTATATATTTTATATATTTTATATAGATTAACGTTATCACATGGATTTAAAGTCATGCGGGGGGCATAGAATACAAAGAAAGGAATAGATATTTACAAAATGGAGATTAAGTAAACATTATTATTCGAAAGGATTTGTTTTACCATCCTGATGGTATGCTTCGGAATCCCTCTTTCTTTCATGTTTATTAATAGAAGCAAATCGTTTTACGGCATTCTTGACTTTTCCTAAAGAAGTATTTCGTTTGAGAGGTTGTTCATTGGTTGAGTTTTGTTCAAATTCGTTGGTTGATAAAATAGTCAATTGAGGATGCAATTCTTGAGTAAAAGCATCAATTTCATCATTTTCTCTTGATAAGATTTCTTTACTTATTCTTGTCGATTCTAGGTCATCATAAGTCCTCTGCTCAGCAAAGTACAAATCATCATGTTGAACTAGATTGGAGTTTGTATTTTGTAGTTTATCATTAGAAGGAGTTATAAATTCAAAATCGGTAGTTAACGAATTAACAGTGGGTTTGCGAGAGGAAATACGATGACGAAGAGTAGAAATTTTTTTTGAAGCCACCCTGGTGAGATTATGAAAGGTTTTATCAGTAGCTAAATGGGTATGTCCTCTGGTATCAACTCGAGTAGCCATTTTTTATAAGAGTATAAGAAGAAATATGAAGAATGTATGAGAATGTATGAGAATATATAATATGATTGAGTATACAAGCTAGATTTTTTGTTTGATAGAGAAGTTTTTGAGATGGTTTTAAAAAAAAAGGGAAAGTAAGAAATACGATCTTTTATAGATTTTTCAACATGTTAATAATTTGATATTCGATAGTTTGATGAATCATTGATTTAATTGTATAAAAAACCAATTTAGTCGGGCTGCATGTGTTACTTTTTAGGTAAGATAAACAATTACAATAGACATCACAATAAATTTTTTTGATACAAATAAATTTCTTTGATTGGTAAATATGAGTATAATATATCATTATATCATTAATGTCATTTTCATTAGAACTTTCATTAGCATCTTCACCTTCATTCTGAATATTCATATTATGTACGTATGTATATACTAGCATTATTTTTTTGCTAAGTATGCATATATTAAAAAGTAGTGACAGAGTGGTGATAGTCTTGTGATCAATTTCACCCCATAAATTTTTAAAAATTTAGGGAAAATTCTAGGAGAAAAAATTCTAGGAGAAAAATTCTAGGGGAAAAAAAATTTTTGGGAAAAATTCTAGGATAATATGTATTGTAATATTGCATATTTCTGCATAAAGTATATTCAAAATCTTTGTTGAAATATGTATCGGTATATTATGTATTAAAATACTATATATATCAATATATTTACATAAACAGTCTCATGTTAGAGAAACATAAATACTGTACGTATACATGCTTACATATGCATGTAGGTACAGACACGCAAAACATAACATTTCACAAGGGGCGAAACAACAGTACGTTTGTTTTCTTTTCTGAAAGCCACGCCAATTATTCCAGTCACTAAATAGGTTTCTCTATTAGCATTTTTGTTTCACTTGTTTTCCTAAATTAGTTATTCGATATACACAAGGTGGACCAATTTTTAACCTTGCACATATTTAAGTGTTAGAATGTAAAATCTGTAACCCGAACATTGTAACCCGAACATTTGTGTGAATGAATGAATACGTATGATTTGATCACAGGTTTTTTTTACTTTTAAAGTTCACAAATGAAAAAAACGTTCAAATTTTAGTATCTTAATGATATTTCAGGACTCGATAATGAACTACGTAACAACTAGATTTTTTGTTTGGGCAACGCAATTTTAATTTTAATATTTTCTCAAAAGACATTTTATTCTTAGAATTTATTAACCGATACATTTTTTTAAAAAAATTTCATATTAATGAATTTGCTATATTCATTCATTCATTATATTCATTATAACTTACCTGTCAGCTAACTTTAATACATATTCTATCAATAAATCAGCCAAACCCGCTAAGTGTTAAAACAGTGTTTCACAATGATTAACCTAAACCAGAACTTTTGCATAAAAATTCCGGATGTCAAGTGGCTGAACGCTAAATGATGATACTGATAATTTATTTTATCTTTTGATATCATTGATATTAGAATTTTAACCTACGAACTTGTATTTCCATCATCATAGTAAAACGAAGGCCTTCCTATCCTGTTAGCATGTTTACCTTAATAATTTCTAATATTTCAGTATTTTAATATTTTAATTTTCGTCCAATTAAATCTTTACACGTTCCTTTGCCACGTGATCGGGCGCATACCTTCCACATTACTGCATACGCGTGTAACCTTTTTTTTGATCGGTGATTAATTTGCGTACTGGTACATTGCATCATCATTCACATTGCGCATATTGTTTCGGTGGTAAATATTTTGTTTCCAAGTAACACTACGTAGCACTAGGGTTCAACCTTTCAATCACATTGAGGCATGACATCATGGTGTGGCTTTATGTGGTCATCATCATTGGGTGTTGATTGCTATTGAAGCGCAATATTCTGAATTGCTAATTACATACACCTACTTACGACCGTACGTATGTATTCACGCAGGTGATGAAGACGCAATGTTGATTCGCGTCACAAATTACTATGCGAATTTGAAATAGTCTACCACATGGTCTGGTTTATCGTTATTGTAATTACTTACCTTGTAAAATTTTTTTTGTTATTAACCAGTATAATTACATCATAGGCTTAAAATATTTCGGCCTGATTAGCTAATAACGATGGTAATCAGTATAGTTACATCATACGCCTAAAATTTTTTTTTTTAGTTTTTTTTGTTTATTGAAAATTTTTATTTAAATTTAATGTTTCTAATTGGTTGGATTAATTTCCTACAATCATTGAGAATCATTGAGCAAAATTTGTTACACAATAAAGTTTTCGATTTAATCGGCCGTAATATGTAAATAATATTCTTTCGAATTTTCAATGACCACCACGCCAAAATTGGTAATATATTTTTTTTAATCCAACGTCTTTATAGGATTATAATAACAATAAAGTTAATAAATCTAATTTAGTAATTATTGAGATTTTTTTCTTGAATTTTTTTTTTAAAAAAAATATTAGCATTAGAAAAAAAATTGGTGGTGTATTTTTTAAATTTTACGTCTTTCATTAATATATAAAGGTTTTAAAATGTTTAATATAAGTATTATTTCTATTTTTTAAATTTAAATTTGAGTTTATAAAAACAAATTTAGTTTTATATCTTGTTTTACCAATCTAAATATTTTTTTTAAATAAATTATTATTATTATTATTATTAAAAAAAATGTTGTCTATACTGGGTTATTAATAACCCTTTCTATTTTATAATTGCTTTTAGTTTTTTTTCAAAATTTAGAGTCAGAAAACTGTTTAATACCGAAATAAAATTATACAAGACTTTTAAAGTTTTAAACATTTTACTTAACCTATCTAATTTTTGTTCTTTAGGTTAATTTATAGAAATATAACATTTTAAATATTAATAACTCTCAGTATAAATTATAAATATTATTATTATTATTATTATTATTATTATTATTATTATTATTATTATTATTATTTTTTATTTATTTTTTTTTTTTTAAACCTTAAGCAGTTACGCTAGTACTTTATTAAGATTCTTGAAACTATTTACAATTATAATTAT